TTGCATTTATTATCCAAATATCCTGAAAAAAGTTCAAAGTCACAGAATAATTTTTATCCACCATAAATCCTGCTCCATTTAAAACTCAGGGGGAAAAATATTTTAGATTTAAGTTTATATCATACAGTTTACTTTACACTCATAAGTGGTAAATTTTGCTTCCTGAGTTTTTGCCTTTGTAGGTAATTCAGAAACAGGTCTATTTAACATGTTTGGCTGTTAGGTAAGTATGGATTTCCCATTCTAACTTATTAAATGATGTGAAGAGTTAGCATTTGATAGCATTCCAACTGTTTTATTCTGTATGAGCATGTTGCATGAACATTATGGGGAAATCCAAACGTGAAAATAGCAATGTAATCCTTTCATAAGAACTTGGACAGGGTTTGGAGATTATATCTTAAACCAAGTAATTGGGGTAATAACTAATCGTTGCTCAATGAGCTTTCTCTTCCCACGAAAAGCAGAATCATTGTACATTCAGTTAAAACTTTGTTTGAAGTCTACACAGGGGCTGGTAACTTTAAGTGCTTGAGAGTCTCCTAAGTACCAGAAGATTTTTCATGCTATTTACAAAAATTACAAGCCTGGGATTGGTTCTTATGATGTGGTCTTTCATAGTGATTCTCTTTAGGACAAAATTTGCTTCACATATTAATTTTGTTTTGGAAGACTTACTGTTTTTCTTGATGCTCATTTTCTTTTGAATTATATGCCAACATTTGGAAACTGAAGAAAATGAGTACTGAATGTTTTTATGATCACACAACAGAGCATATAACAAGCATAAAATGGTACCAGTTATAAAATGATATGAAAAACTCATCACATCTCTCTTTTTATATTTAGACAAATGTTTGAGCCATAATGTCTATGGAGCTTCTCAGTCATCCAAGCTATGGTTGAAGAAGCTTCTTGGATGAGATGCAAAATGTCTTCCAAGAAAACCAAGAAAGTCCAGTTGCCTTTTGAAAAAAGAACCTTTGAGATTTTATCCATAATTGGAAGCATTAATTAGATATGAGCTGCATATACAATATTAGTTGATATGTCTTGCTTCATATTTCTTTGCTATTGTAAATAAACTCATTTAAATGTCAACGGCATATAAAAATTAACAGTAACAAGACATCTATACACAGAATAGTTTTGCAATATATAAAAACTATAAGACTTTGAGCTTTCTTTATTTTTTAATACAAAATGATAAAAAGCTAGATCCCACTCTTCACCTATATTACGCATTATCTTAAAATAAGGGCAACAGCTAATTTATAGAAGCAATAACAATATTTTAAACAATCTTGTAAAAATCTGTCTTAACATTAAGAAGTAACCTGTTACCTTTTAAAATAAATAAAATAATAAAGTAGTAACAAAATAGACTCTAAATATTTGAAAGTAATAGATTATAAAAGTAATTGGTAAACATTTAAAATAAAAGTGTCTTCAATCAATGGGAATTGAGACACTGTGACAGATTTAAATTTGCAGTTTACTGCAGGGGCATGGTACTTCTACTGAAAAGGTTTCCCTTGGACTTATTCAGTGGTGGCATTGAATTTTTTTTACTATTGGTTCTGTGGGTGTGGCTTTATGGGTGTGGCATGGCTTTGTGGGAGTGGCTTTGTGGGTGTGGCAGAGGAAGGATACTGCAAAATCCCCATTCCCTCCCCACCCCATGTTTTCCAGCTCTGTTCTCCTGTTCAGGGCAACAAAAGAAGATCAACTAGGAGGCTGGGAGGCAGCAGGGGGGTGGCCAGCCTATTTGCCAGTACTCCAAATTACTCAAAATTTCCACTAACAGTTCTCCAGAACCTGTCAGAACTGGCTGAATACCACCTCTGGACTTATTTACTAGATATGCTCACAAAACATTAACCACAATGTTGCTAATATCAATTTATCAATCAGCGTATAAGGGAGATTGATATCTACCATATTTTTAAATGCTAGTTCTTTCTCATGAACTTCAAGAGATATTTCAGTAAACAGCCAGGCAGATTATTGTGACAGTTCAGCTCTAGTGTCAG